AGGAGGGATCCAGCGAACCGCCTAGTGGAAGTAGTGAATTGCAGCTCTGCCTTACCGTGGGTTTGCGTGCAGGAGACATTGCAGTCCTCAGAAGCAGAGCGGCGACAGAGTAGTAGCAGGACTCCAGGTTTCCAGGAACGCCGTTGAGCGGGATTATGTATTGAGGCGCGACGCATTGCCGTGATTCCGGGCTGCCCTGGTGTGTGCGAGTGCAGCGGGGGATCGATGTCTCTTTAGCGGTGGAATTGACGGACCAGGCCATCCCAGTCACCTTCCACAATAATCCTTGAGCGCACCGCCGCCATGGCTGTACCCCTCAGGTGTGCGCGTGGAACGTGGGGGCCTTGGATGCTGCGGCATTGGGATTCGTTGCCCGCCACGGCCCGCGTGTTTTGTGTGTGCAGGAGGTGTGACGGCCACTTCCGGCAATTTGCACATCCCTTCACGGCGCGGCCTTTGATTTAATTGGCACACCGCATTCCACAGGCAAGGGATATTGTGGCGGATTGGCCACGCTGGTACGGGGATGCCTACACGAGGAATTCTTCTTTTTTAAATATTTCCCTCCGGCTTTGCAAAGCCATGCACCACAGCAGACACAGAGGGGTGTGGTATTAGCATGGAGAGTACGATATTCACCGAGACTCTTTCCACGGCAGCGTGCGTGTCTGCACCTTCTCGTCGAACCGTGGAAGCACGCGAGCACACGTCGACGGTTCTGGATCACCTGGTGACTCACATTGTTGGCGTACCCTTTTTTCTTGCCAGCAGCACCGAGGAGCGCGCACACGGATGCGGTTTGTCCTTGGCCACTGCGGCGTGCCCCAGGAAATAAGCATGTGATGCATAAGCCAAGGAGGCGTCCGACATCGCACAGCTCACAGACGCATGGAGCACCGGCATCGTCGCATTGCCCGGACGTATTATTGGCGTCCGACAGCTCAGGCCAGGAGCTCACCGCTCCAGTGCAGCAGGCGACTGGGAACCCACGCGCACGGGATCCACTGTCACTCGCAGGGAGGAGACTGCACCGGCCCGCTCCCGCACCGGTGTTTCTCACGAATACGGATGGCTGCTGCGACCATTGCAACCCGCCATCCCACGCACATGCCGTTGGCGCGGCGCGGATGCCGCACAGCAGGCACGCAAAGAACCTCGCACGGAAAAGCCATCTCCTCCTGCTGGACCCCACACCGCCACGATCCGATGCCCGACAGACTGCCCGGTGTGCGGCAAGCACTGCAGCTGCCGCACTAGTGTCGTGACGCACATGGCTAACGCCCATGGCACTACGCGCTCCCAGGCGCTGCGGGAATTTGGCTTTCGCGGTGAGTCGGAGCCGCCAGAAATCCCACCGGAACCACCGCCCAGCACTTGAGCGAGGACGAGAGCGAGAGACGGCACGCCGATCGCACCTCCGTCGCAGACTGCGCAGCCCATGCCGAAGCCACTCCAATGCAGTTTTTGCACGGTGTCGTAGGAAAGGCAAGCCGGAACCGTATTTTATCTTTGGCACTTCCACAAGCAAGAGTTCCCCCGACAAATAGGAGGCGTTGCCAGGAATATGACGGTCTGACGGCATCCACCGCGCTCGAATGCACGCACTGTGAATTCGGAGCTCAAGCGAAAGCGGGACCACTATCCCGCATACGGGCACACGAACACTCCAGCACAGCGCTACCGTCGGCACCGAAGAAAGTGGCACTTCATAGGTGCCCTTAATGCGGCAGGCAGGCGGGCAATGCCGGGGGATTGACCACCCGCACCCGGCACAAACACCCGACAGAAAGAAAGTCGTGACACTAAAAATGGAGAACGAATAACCACGCGCCGCAAAGCTCGAACATTCGCATGAAGAGCATCAAACCAACGCAGAACCCCGCCTCCGCGCAGGAGGAGAATGCCACCGAGAAACAGTGCACCTTGTGTGCCTAAAATGGCACGCACACATGCATTGATTAGCGTCACGCTGTTGCCGATTTCCCGGCGGCAGAGGGCTCAGGCCGCCGAGAAGGCGCACGTCGCTCGGCGACGACATCCCGCTGCGACCACCACCAGTTTGGTTTTGCCGTTTAGCGTGCGGGTTTCCGTGCCACAGCAATGCCTGACTGACCCGCTACCGCACGGCACGCCACGGGCATCTGCCGGACATTGTGAATACCGGTCGACTGGAACTGTGCGGAGAGGCAGGTCTGCATTTACTCCGCTGTCCGGCTCCCACTTTGGGTGCCGGGCTCTCTTTCACATCTTTAATCATTGGGCCGACGTGCTCTGCGATGGTGGCTGGCGTGTGGGTCTTTGTATTTACTTGAGAAGGCACGAGGAATAGTAACAATATATATAAACAGCGCTGAATAGATATTAGTATCGACAACTATATACCTATCTGTATATACAAATACAGCCAATAGAATAGCAATTCAATAAACCAAGAAACCAAGCAATCTGTCGAATTTAGGGGAAGGAAGGGAGATATGCACATCTATACACATCATCAGCAAATAAATTATCGCTTTTGTAGTCATACCCATATCGTTATGCCTATTCATTGATCGTTGCTTATTTTCATATCTATATTGCTTCATACATTTTTTCCATCGTTTTTTTTTATTTGTGGCATTTTGCCTCCGTTATGTTATGTATTCTTCTCCCGTGAGTTCATGCTTACGTTTTTAGAGCGCATAGGCATTCCGTCCCGCGGTCAAGGTTTCATATGCACTGAAGCACCCCATCGGACAAAAGTAGCAAGGGGCTTGCGAAGCCCATCTCAGTTGAATGATGGTTGCTATCTTGTTTGATCTCCTGAGGAGCCGCGAGGTGTGATTGCGTTGCCCCTGCCACCCAACACAATGACAACTTTTAGCGAGCACTTTGCAGGCCCATTGTGCAGTTATTATTGAGGTGCACTCCACACCCGCATTTTGGGAGTGAACGAACGGTGTACCCGTAGAGGATGCTGAGGGCGGCGTCAGCGAGGCATGGGATAACATGTGCTCCGGAACAAGTGTGTGGCGTTGGCCAGAGGAGGCATTGTGTCAGCGACATCATTGATTGATGGCCATTGATTTTGGGGCTTCGGTATTCGGAGCCTTAAGGACTGGAACGCTGCTGGCTGACCAGGTGCCACTCGCCATCCGATCCCTTCTGGATGTGGCTTAAGAGACGGTGCGGGCGCGTGCGGCGGGGGAAAAGAAAGTAGGACATTGTGTGGACATGCACGTGGACGCGTCAGAGCGTCACGATATCCCTCAACAAGTGTGGAGCCCCCGGTATGGTGCGTTGATCGTCCTGATTAAACTGCCTGGGGTGGAGGTGAGTGCGCTGACTTCCGTTTCACCGAATTTTCCTTCAGCTGACAGGCTGCGCAGCTGACGTGGAGGGACACCATGCGCACCTATTCCCGGCGTGTGCGATGCCGTTTCCCACAAACGAGGGCGATTTCCCCGATGATGTGCTCCGTCGTCCTCACTTGATTCCTTGACGAAACGACGCAACGCGGGGCTGGTGCTGAGCGAAGAAAGCCTTCCGTCTCGGTTGGAACCAAAACGGAGAGCCCATGAAGAGACATGCTGCTCGCGACCGGTTGATGCGTGGCCTGTGAGGAGTCTGATTGCCACCGTGTAGCATCTAATTTGCCTGATTGCAGCGCCCTCTACGCGTTGCACAGTTCTTGTGCTCCTGAGTAGTGCCGATAAGGGCGGATTGCATGGTAGTGTTTCATTGCTGGAAGGCTCTGTAAGGAGGAAAATACTGTTCTTTCTTCTTCATGGAGGAGACGAATCCGTTCTTTGATTGAAGTACGAATGCCTTGTTGCAGCTCTTGTTGGCCGCTGGTGGCCTTGGTGTTTATTCTAATCAATGGCTCTCACTGGCGATTCCACGGCCGAATATCGACGGGTGCCGTCATTTTTGGTCCACGTTGCTTGGCCCAACAATAAATTATTTGTGCAGCTGGACAAGGAATTTCCAGTGGGCGTGGACCATGTTTTTCAGAATATGCCCACAACGGCTGCTGACCGTGCTGGTGGTTGTTGCGTCCTGCATGACTCTGACAACGTTCTTGCGGATTTCACTATGTTGCGTGCAAATGATGTTACATCTGTGCCTCGTCGTGTGGCAGAGGCCTGAACCAACGGGGGGTAGAGTGTTGTGACGAATTCGAGCACCGACAACCCTCGTGTTGCTCATCGTTGTGCTCGTTTTCACTACGGTCCTCGACGTGGGGAACATTTTATTATTGTGTGCGGTATAAAGATCACTTATCCGGTGGCATATTGCAGTTTGGCGGTATTTGGTCAAAGGACCCTGTGGAATAGTTTGTGAGGACGAGGGATGATGACAGGACTGTCATGCCCGCACAGACTGAGACGAGAATGGGATTTTTGATGTGCCCTGCAACACTGCGCTCGATTGCGCCATTGGATGCGTGCAGTGCAGGTGGCTCTCCGGTGTCTGTTGGCTTCACGGCCAACCCGCTGGCCCCCTCTGAAGGGCATTCAAGAGCATTCGTTCTCTGAGGGAGTTTCTGCTGTGTGGTCCGCACACTGCAGTGCCCGCTCCATTGGGCTTTTTCTTCGGTGAGAGGATGGTCTGTTGCACTTCTTGGGCTTCTGTGGTGAGGGGAGGGTCGTGGGGCAGCATGCCCACCGTTTCGGTGTTGGAGCACCGCGTACTTGTGGCCGCGTTACGCAGGAGGCACAATCATCTGTAGCATGATGAAAGCGACGTGTTCTTGACCCTTGCCAGCAATGGACGGTCTTCCTGTTATGTTGTTCGGGTGTTTCTGGAGGACAACGAGCTTGCAAATGGTTACGAGGGATGTGTGGCAGCAGGGATTGAGTGCCGCTTTGGTTTTTTCTGACGGGCTGTGTCGAGGAATTACAGGCGCTTGCAGATGTTGTTGCCGGTGTGAGGGCAGGTGTTTCAGCCACCCGAAGCGTGGCTGTTGGGAAGACGAGTTTCACTTTTGCAGCTGAGGCAGGCATCGACGAGGCGAATGTGCGGTCCCACCACCCTACTTTCTGTACTGTTTTGCCGCGACGACTGGATCTGATTGCCAGCCACGTTGGGCCATCGCCATGTGGCCGCAACGTTGCCTCGAAGGGGTCGAGAGGCCGCAGAGCACGGCGTTTGTATTCATCCGTGGAGGTGTCACGGAGGGAAATGCGGGCCTTTCGGCATCTGACATCTCGCTGCCTTTTGACGCCACATTTGCTGAGTCTGTGGGTACTGTATGACGCTTCTGCCTTTTACTGGATGATTGGGGCTGCTGAGATGCGGAGGGCATTTGCTGCACCTTCCTTTGGTATATTTGTCGCACGCCGTGTTTGAGATGGTTTTCTATTGCTGCACTGCATGGGGTGCTGCAAGGCACTGCTTTATGCCATGCGGTGGAAATATTTAACGTCATTGAGGTGCCCCCAGAGGGTGGGAGTGGCGATCCCCCGGCGCGGGTGATCGTTGACGGGCTCACACGCCCCTTTGAACTTGCTGTCTCTTTGTTGTGCGTTCATTGACTGACCGCGGATATTGCTGAATATATTCAGGCCGCTGCAGTGCTCCATGCATTCAAGGTGTTGTCCTCCGCGCCGTCAACCTCGGCAGCTAACCGACCGGTGTCTTTGAAGGTTTCGGGAGGAGGATCAGTTCAATTTGTTTTGCTGCTGGAGTCAATTCCTCCATTTCTGTCAGCTAGACACGCCCACACCGTCACTTTGCTTTTTTCCTTTCAATGGGAGGAAAGGGTGGTGACTAGCCTCGAGAGACAGTGGCTCTTTTTGTTGCATCGCTGAGTGATCGTTCAGCGGCAGTCGATGCATCAGCCCTTCCTGAGGGTCGGCGACAGACACTCTGTGGCCGAGACTATTTGGATGGGATTTCACAGGGCGGAATCCGCGCTTTATTCCCGTGCTTATGCCGACGGAATGTAAGTATTTGTCTCTTCTTGTGATACCTCGGGTGTGCCGTGAAGCTACATTGAGGAGAGCACGAGGCGTTAGTGTCCGTGTTATTTTTTTGGGCGCCACTGCTCTTTTTGGGTGTGTGATCCGACTGTGTGGTGGGTCGGTTGAGGGGGAGGACGTGGATGGGCCGCGCCTACCCGACTGCTGTGCCTTATTTTGCTGAACGCCCTGACCGAATTGCTGCTCTCCTTTTGCTTGCCTTACAGGGCCTGGCGACCTCTTGAGGAGCGGTGCGACGGCGTGGACTGTCGGGCTGCTGGGGAGGCCGTGGCTGCGCGGGATGTCCTGCGGTATTTTTTGCGTTTCGGGACTACTGTAGAGAAGAGGACATTTCATGCCTCCTCCACTTCCAGGAGAGTCAATGGAGGGATCACGGTTGTGGGATATCACTTCACGAGAGCCTGCGCCCGTTGGTCGCGTCGACGGTGCGCTCTGTGTGTCTTCGATCCCTGCCGGAGCATCCCGCTGTTTTTGTTCCGGTGAACGGGAAAATCCACCGACACGCCGAGCGGGTTGTGAGGATGTTGCAGCGAGGAACGCTTTAATAGAGGCCCTGCAGTGAGGGAGCGCTGCTTGCAAGGATCCCGCAGCACTTGGGATTTTTCTTGCACTTACTTTC